GAGGGTTTTATGTGGGCAAAATTTCAGATTAAAATTCGAAAATGCGATTTTGCTGGAAAATCAGGGTCCTCTATGGAATTTCAAGTAAAACTCGAATATCTCAGCCAAATCACAACATCAGCCGATATCCTCTTAGGCTTTTTCTAGTCTATAGGTCTTCTATTCATGGACAAAATATGGAGCCAAAAGCGATTGATCAGTTGGAGATCTTCCCTCGTCAATGAATATTGGAGGAACAATGAAGTAACCTCGAACTTTTCGATATTGACTTTCCCAAGGTAGATACTGGAGAAATCCCTCTAGATAATAATTGCCAATCAAACTGATGTGTGTTCTGACCGATTTGATATTTTCAAACTAGGAAAGTGGAAGGAGATTGATTCTGTAGGAAACATGTGAAATTAATAGTTTTGTAGTTATTGAAAACATGTGGTTTGAACATGTTGACAGAATGGGTATTCTCAATTGACTTGTTTGAAAAATATTTGAATGTATTGAAAACATATGATTCAATCAATTTTTAGTCTGGAACGAACAACCTTATATTTGCCTATGGTCTCGTCGATCCTGATCCTTGTAAATTGGATGGTGACATCACCTATCATGAAGGTCGTCGAGGTTCACGCATCTTACCACTTCGATCCTATGCCAATCCACCACCCGAAGACAAGTTTGCCCGACTTGATTATGTTGAATTTCGTTTTAATAATGTTAGTTGTTTTCGTCTAACTTCTATTTTTATCGTTACAACTTTCAATTCAATTTCAGTATCTAATTCCAGCAGCAGATACCACCTATTACTGCGAAGTACAGAAAGCTCCGACTAATTATTCAACTAAACGACATGCAATCGGTGTATGTATGAACATGATTTAATGTATTTTTATTCGATTCAATTTTGTAGCATAAGATACTAATCGAACCAGCTAATCGTGGTCTTGTACATCACGTTCTATTATATGAATGTCACCCGACATCGAAATTCGACGATAATAATCTGCCACATGGATTATGCGATACTTTATATCTGGAGCTGGCAATGTGCACGACAAATATTGCAACCGTATGGGCAGTTGGAGGTGACGAAGTAAGAGAAAAATAGTAAACGAGTCTATAATTGACGAAAACGATTATGTTCAAATTAGATAGTGGAATTTCCACAGGAGGCTGGATATCCTATTGGTGGTGACTTTGAGATCAAATATTATTTGATTCAAGCACACTATAGCAATCCTCAAATAGTTTCCAGTAAGACAGCGCATTTGAAGTCGAATGAAAGTGTCAACATTCTAAATTCGATATATGATTAGATCATCACGGTAGTACAGGTTTTCGATTTTACCTTGGTGAAGAACTTCGTCAACATGAGCTTGGTTACTTATCATTCGGAACGGAGACAAGTCCATTTGCACTTGCCATTCCACCACACATGGATAAATTTGTGGTCGATAGCTATTGTCGTGCCTCAGCTACTCAAGTATCTTATGAGCTTTATAGTTAACGGACAATGATGATATATGTTCTAGAGAATTCCTGAATCCGGCATCACGATTGTGGCTTCTTTTTCGCACACTCACTTACAAGGCAAGTTAATTCGTAGAATTTCACTAAAATCGTGTTATTTTTTATTGTTCAGGTCAAAGTGTACGGACAAAATTGATTCGTAACAACAAAGCCGTTCAATATTTGTTCAATGCAGAAGCGTACGATTTCAATTATCAATATACTAACACTCTGCCTAAACCGATCAAACTCTATCCAGTAAGAGCCATCTTTCGTCTTTTTCATAGCAAAACAGGTCATTTTTCCTGGGGCTGGTTTACAAGAAAACGGAATGCATCAATCGATGGGGAATTTAACGAGGATCCCAGATATGCTACCCCTTTTCC